CTTGAACGAAGCTGCCTTAATTAAAAGGCTAAATCAAAACATTTCATATTCTCAAACCATACCCTGTTTTGTGATACATACACGTTCAGACCACAAAGGCCCCACCCAAATTTAGACGAATTCGTTTCCATAAGGTTTGGAAACGTCGTTTCATGTGATCGAATTTCAATGCGATTTACATTCTCCATTGTCATAATAATAATCGTACTCAAACTTAGAATGTTGTATGTTGTCGTTTCTGAGGCTGAAAATGCCTCAGCCTTTCGTATGCGCGTATAATACTGGAACGTCGTTTAAATTGTTTTACTGGTTATACTATACATGAAAAAAAATACGCGCTTCTGGTTGGATGAAAACAAGTGCATTTTTCATGTAACATGAGTGCAAAGTTATAACTCGAGTGCAAATTGCAAATAGCGCACGCATGCTGTCAAAATTTCGTCTATCTTGAATTTTTGTGATAGTTTTTTATTCATGTAAATTGTTGAAAATCTCTTCCGCTTTTACATTTCAAGTAACAATTTTTCTCTTCCTCTCCCCCCTTTGTATTCTCTTTGTATTCACGCGCGGTGCGCGTCATTCACAAATTAGCCAATCATGTCAAAGAACCCTAACCTTGACATTGGAAAACTGACGTGGACATATTTTCGCGTACTTTTCGTTTGTTTTCGCGGGGTTTTAATTGGTCGTTTTTGAGCTTTCGTTCGTGTAAATTTGTTACTCCTTTGTTTGGAATTTTAAGAAATTTCGGGGTTTATATTTCAGCCAAATTATGTGGTTCAGTTAACAAGTTTAATACATATTTTCTACGGAGTTTGGGCCCCAGCCTCTTTTTTCGTAAATAAATAATTTTACATAAATAATTAATGGCTGATTACATTATTTCTAGTTTAATTTGGTGTAAATAAGCACCTGTCAAGTTTTCAAATCTACAAACCGCTCCGGAATCGAGCAGTTTATTGTCTTTGAAAAATTTACTCGTGGTTTTTAACACCAAATTGCAGTCGAAATCATGTAATTACCTATGTTTACATTAGGCGACGAACACAATGTCTCGTAGGGAAGCTCTCAGCGAAGGAGTCACGAATCAATATTCAATTTCAGAATGATGAGACGCTGAAGTTTCTCCCACAGTTGGGGAGATCAAATGTTCCGTCTGCCTTCCAGGAGTAAATAATTCAGTTCGCTTTGTGCATGTCCATAATGAGCCGTTTCTGTGACAATTTACAGATCTGAAACGATGATCTATATTACCGTAAAAACAACTGAGAACTATATCTGGAAAAAGTCATAATGAGATAGAAAAAGGTTGTAAATGATCGCGATATTGCCTCGACGTAATTTTGTTGAACTCTAGAAAATTATTCCCAAATTTACAGACGGTTAAGCAACCAAATATGGTAATGAACGGTGGCGTAATTTAAGTTTGATAGAAACTAATTCAGCTGTTCACACCTCCTGGGTCATTTCGCTCAGAACTTCAAGGCTTTGAATTTGCACCAAAATCAAACGATTTGTCATGAAAGCTCTGGAGAAATTTTGTGACGATATTTCTAAATATTATCCCGAGAAGGATGAATTTTACAGCTGGTATGTATTGCTTTGTGTACTCAACGCGATGTTGGCTCTTTCAGCCACATTTGGGAACATTATCATCATCTGCGCGCTGACGAAGACTACTTGCGCTCTATGTACGTCAAAGATTCTTCTGCGTGGTTTGGCATTTACCGATCTTGGAGTTGGTTTAGTTGTGCAGCCGTTGTACATATCTGTGATCGCTGAGATACTCTCGAAAGATTCTGTTTCGTCTTACGATTCTGAGTGCAATACCAAAATTGCTTTCCTCGTCTTGGGAACGTTTCTAACCAGTGCCTCATTCTTCATTGTTTCAGCGATCAGTTTTGATCGCTTCCTCGCTATTACACTTCATTTACGCTACAGAGAAATCGTGACAGAGAGGAAGGTAACCATCACTATTTCTGTCTTGTGGACGCTTAGTGCAGTTACCTCGGTTGGGTATTTGTTAATCGGAGATATGAACCGAGAAGTTGTTTCCTTTGCCTTCACGATCACCTTCTTTATAACAACCACTTTAGCTTTTGCCAAAATCCATCTCGCTGTTCGTCGTCATCGTTTGCAAATATCTGCGCAGGAGGGAACCTTAGGCAAAAATTGCAAAGACTTGACTTTAAGAAAAAGAAAGTTTAAGTCTGCTATGAATATCTTCTACGTATATGCTGCCTTTGCCGTTTGTTTTTTGCCCTACACCTGCACCAAGCTGGCTATAGCCACAACAGGGCATAATGTCGTTTTGAAAGGAGTCTTTCATTTTTCAATGACGTTGGGACTTCTTAACTCGTCTTTAAATCCCATAATATTTTCCTGGAGAATGGAGGAGATCCGAAGAAGCATGCTGGAGGTATTGAGGAGGGTGTTACCTTGTCTGAAGTTAGCTCGAGTTGTTCAACTGCATCCCCAACGAGAGCTTGCCATGACGTAATGTGAAGACCCTTGTCTAAAATTGGAAACAACCTAATGTTACGAGAAAGAAGTCATTTCCATCGTGAAAGAGTACATGGTTCAAATAATTCGAAATGGGAAAATTTGAACGCAATACAATTCTCATTGTCGCGGAAATTACTTCGATTCGAAAATTTCTCTTACTCGTGATTTTTTGTATTTTAGGGGCATCTGCTTCATGACGGCTCAGTCATTTAAAAAAAATACTTTTTTTCGGATTCAAAATGAACCTTTTTTCCTGCTTTAAAGCAACATCTGGCCTATAAAAGGTTTACGAATTAAAGATGCTAATTTAGAAGCTAATGAAAATATCCTGTGAACAGTAATTTGATAATACGTAAACAATATGCTCAATGTGGATGATCAAAACTTATCTAGTCGAAAACAAAGAAGATTTGAAAATGTTGAAGTGGCTTTTCACCATGCACAGACGTCAATAAGGAGAGACGTGTATTAATTTAGGATTCTTTTCTAGGCGACAGTCAGTTAGATATAGCTAATGAATAGAGGTACAATCAAATTACTGGATGACAGGGTCAATAGCTTTGTTTTCTATATACATACGTCATATCCAGCGATATTGACAAGAAAAGCTTAGCCAATACTTTTGCGTCCTATACTGCTTTATTTCCATCAAGGGCAGCTGATCGCAACTGAACAAGGCAAAATTGCGGTGTTTTCTTCTTAGAATTCGGCTCCTAACACCTTGCATTTAATTTTTTTATGAAAGCAGGGGCTCCCGTAACTTATCATAACTCTTCATTAATTCATCTACGGTATAACAGTTGCTTAATATAATCTTCTGAGATGTGTATCGCAATTGCCTCAACCCATTTCCTGTGTAGGAAACTTGAAACACCAGGAATTGTTACTCATCGGCGAATTGCTCTCAGTTATGCAAATTGAAGCGCGAATAAATCGAAATTCAAATCCAATATTATTTTTTACTTGAAAAAGAAAAAAAACTTTTTTGAAGATTAAGTAGCACAATTTGCGAAATTCTAAATAGATACACTGTAGCCATATATATTCTGATTCGTTATTGTCCGTTCTAGCTGTTGTACATTATTTTTTTACAAGTATTCCGGTCAAGAAAACACTCCCTTGCGGAGAAAACTGTCATTCTATCACATGTCAGCTAAAATACATTGATATAGTAAATGCAGGTTATATGTTGATCGCTTTAAGAAGTCAAATCTTCTCGTAAATTCCCTTAATGATTTCAATTTGCAACATTTACCGTTATTTATTCTGTTTTCCGTCAAGCTGTTTTTCAGTTACGTTTGTTTTAGTCAAAAATTGTCCCATTTATCAAAATAAAAATGTCCTCGTGCGTGTAAATAGTTATTGGCAATAAAACTTTGGAAATTTCTTTTGAGTTTCGAAGTTCTCCTTCGATTCAGGGGTACCCCTTTACCCAGACATCTTTAAACTCCAGGCCTCAGTCATTCGAAGGTCGGATGACACTATGCACTGGATAAATCTCTATCCGGTGGATAACACTGTACGTTTTGCTATCACTTACCCCCTGGATAGCGATTTATCCGTTGGATAGCGTTATCCGCCCTTTATACAAGTGGGCCCAGCTGTACAGTTCGAGAGATAAAACTTGACGTCACATTGAGGGACGCCGTCAGAGTGAGAGGCGAAAGCCTTTAAAACGTGGAAAGGAAAAAAGCTAAGCGTGAAAGCATTATGCTCTGTAGTTTTCATCTCTAAATCCAAACTCGCTAAGGAGCAATTTCTTCCCTGAACCCCCATTAAACGGCTCACGCTCATGGATCCATCTAAAAATATCGAGGAGACATCGTCTGGTGTAACTTCCTTTGCCTCTCAAAGTCGCTCTGGCTCTTACTTAAGCTGGGTGGGAAGGCCTGGCGAGGTGGCTGACTTGGTGTCCCCCAATGTACAGAATGGCTTTCTCGAGCTGGTTGTCTTGGAACACTCCAATTAAAAGAACCGATTTGTTCGGCTTGAACAGTATTTAGAAGCTTTTTATTTTCCACAAAACCAAACTCTGAAAGGCGTTTCTCTTGGGTAGTCTTAGGAAATCCCTTGAAGATTGTCTCTATTGACTTCCTCAATTGAACAACCTCAGTGTTTGTACTTGTTAATAAAAGTTTTTCAACTTGTCCTAGAGATGATTCCATAAATTTTATATGTTTTGTATTATCAGCAATTTCTTCTTTAAATCTGCTGACTGATTTGCTCGTCTGTTCTTCTGCCTTTTTCAACATTTCTGTCTTTTTTAATTCTATAAGTTTCATCAAATTGTTTGCTAACTCTTCTATTTCCTTAGCAACAGTTGTTCCTTTTTGTACCAGTTTATCGCAATCTGCCTCAAGTTTCTTCAGCGTGTTTCGCTTTGCTTGCAAATCGCTTTTTTGCTGTTCAATCAGGGCTTCAATATCGGCCCTTTGTTTTTCGGCCTCATCATCTATGTGATCAAAAGCGTGGCCATTGTGGTTTAAAGTCACGCAGGTTTGACAAACAGCTGTTTTACAGTTCTTGCAGTAATATTTCAGTTCTTCGTTCTTGTGTCGTGGTTCGGGACAAAATACAGGCCGTTTTAACACGTCCTCGTAGTCCCTGTCTTGAAACTCTTTCAGCGCCATGACACGGTGATCCTTATTACTGCGCATGATGTTGTGTGCATCTTCGCATTTGGCACAGTAAAACAAACAACACTGAAAACAATAAGAACTTTCGGAGCATTTCTGCTCGCAATTTCCACACGTTACACGGCTGTTCTTGCACTCTTTTATGGCTAGTATATCAATCAAGCCGTTTAAATAAAAACTCGTCGGCAGATCTTTCAGATTGCCACTTCTGGGCACTTCATTAACTGCTAGGCACTTCGGACATTTGATCGTGTCTCCGCCATGCCTGCCTTGGATTCCATGGCTTCTTCTGTGCCATTGCCGTAAGCAGCTCAGGCAGAAACTGTGTAAACACGAAAGCTGTTTTGGATCGGTGAAGATGTTCGAGCAAACTGAGCAAGACACCTCATCACGAAGGTTAGAAAGTAGAGTTTTGAATTCCATGTTGTTCTCTAAGGAGGGATATTGGAGGCGATAGCTGTTTCAAAACTGCTCATTGAGATTCGTTCCGTGTTTTCTTAGAAAACCCACTGCGCGAAAACTGGGGCCTAAAATGCCTGACTATTTTTGCCTGGCTTATTCGTCTCTTTAAATGCAGTTTTTATCCACGCATAGTCAATAGAAATGAATGAATTTTTATAAACTCCTGAGTTAAAAAATAAAAATGTTCTGAGAGAAAGTTTGAGTAAACACGGCCATTACTTTATTTTTTTCAGGTCCTATTTACAACTACTCGTTTCAGTAGTGTTCTTAGCTGCGAGGATCTCCTAATTTCATCTTTCCACCGCAGTGCAAATATGTGAATTTTCATATATCTAATATCTTCATTCAGCTGGGAACGTCTTGAACAATGCATAATGTTCCTTGGTTTCTAGGAAAATCAACGGCGCGTAAATTGGAACTTTGAAAAATTTTAGCACCGCCTGACTCTTATCGCCCATACGATTATACTTTGCAGTGGCAGCTGGCTTATAGAAATGAATTATTTATTGTTAGCGTTTGTTGAAAAAAATAATTGTAAGAGCAAATGGTGATAGAGAAGCGACTTTTGGCAAACTCAGGCCATCTTTAGCCAAGCTCATTTAATAGAGACAGAATGCCCGCAAGCTCTCATGGACCGTTTACCACAGACAAATGTGGTCATATTGTGAAAAAAATGTCTGCATTATTAATTGCAATCAGAAGACACATTTTATCTGATAAGACAAGTTGACGAAAAATGTTGTTACCTTACAGTCCATTTGGATACAGAGTGTAGAATGAAGTTTTTTCATATATTCCTTGACATGTTTCTATAATACAAGGTCTGACATCAATGAGTATCAGTAGATATCTGTGTGGTGAGGGTACCAGTTTATGGTTAAACGGAATTAGGAGAGATGGGTAATTATAGGTGGTTTATTGGAGCTTTACAAATTCATCTTTTAAGGTAAATCAGATAAAAATTAACAAAGGTATTCGAAAATAAGACTAGTTTAAGTGAGATCCATGAAAAACTCCTAACAAAATTTATTTAAATAAGAAGGCTATATTCTTGAGTCTGTTCATCTTGCAATCGAGAATGTGGCGCCTGAGTTCATTTCTCAGAATTGAAGAAAACTACATTTGCTTGCTTGACTTTGGCCAAAATATTTATTATCTGTGAAAAGGATTATATCTGGTGTCCTACAACATTTTGTCCTTTAGAGCCTGTTTCTGATCAATTTCAGCTCCTCGTTCTTGAGTCATAACTAAGGACAGAACACAGGCCGTTTAACACATGCCCGAGGTCCTTGTCTTGAAACACGCCATGACACGGGGATCCATATTACTTCGCATGATGTTGTGTGCAGTTTCGCATCTGGCGCAGTAAAACAAACCACACTGAAAACAAAAACTTGAGAACTTTCGGAATATTTCTGCTCGCAATTTCCATACGTTACATGCCAGTACATTAATCAAACCGTTTTGGTAAAAACTAGTCGGCAGATCTTTCAGATCGCCTCTTCTCGGCATGAACTTTGCTAGTGGTGCTTAGCATTTCAGACATTTGATTGTTCTTTCCTGCCCTATCTTGCTCTGTGTCATTGCTGTAAACAGCTTAGGCAGAAACTGTGTTAACACGAAGGCTGTTTTGGATAGGTGAAGATGTTGAAGCATGCAGAACAGGAAACCTCCTCACGAAAATTATGCAGAAAGGTTTGGAATTCCATTTCGTTTCCTTTTGAAATGTACGTGGAAAACGATAGTTGTTCTCTGTTTTCTTGGAAAAACCACCGCCCGTAAACTGGGCTACACAAATTTGGGAAGGCCTGACTATTTTCGACCTCGCTTAAGCCGCTTACAGAGGCTTACAGCAGTTTAGACACAAATGGTAAATAATGAGAAAATTTTTATTGTA